ATTTGAGATAATCAATATCACAGGTTCTTGAGACTCAGTCTTGTGCCCTCTATTGTCCACAGATCTTCTGCTTCTCCCTTCCCTTCTCTCCACAGATCTCTGAAGGTCATTAAAGAAGTTTGCAGGCGTACAGTGCACAATGCTCCACATTCCATGCTGGACTTGTACACTGTGGCCTCCCTAAACACCCCCTTTTTATTTCACTGGGGACGTAGTTAATAATAATGAATAATAATTCCTTACACTTATATAGGATATCTACTCAGCTAGATGTCTTAAGAAGGCCAGATCCATTCTCAGGGACCGCAGTCATCCCAGTCACATACTGTCTTCTCTCCTACCATCCGGTAAATGGTACCGAAGAATTCGGTCAAAGTCCAACAGACTACAGAACAGCTTCTACCTCCAGGCAATAAGACTGCTAAATAGCCAACCTGCAGCTCCTTCAGCAAATCACCTGTAATGGCTACATGGACACACAGTTTTCATTGTATTCGGCATATTTGGACATAATGTATCATATACACCCTGGACACATAGCAGCTCTATTTATATTGAGTTTTGTCTGAGTTTATTTAATTTAATTTCTATTGCATTATTATCTATTATTTTGTAACCTTAATTTTGTGATTTTTATCCCCCAGGTGAGCGCGTAAAAAAGGCATTTAATTGTCAGCAACAACTGCTGCACGCTGCATTGTTGTGCACTTGATAAATAAACTTTGAATGATCAGAGCGCTTTTCTGGACACTCCACTCAAAGTGTTTTACAGGTAATGGGAATCCCCTCCACCACCCCCACCTGGACGATACAAAAGCAGCCAGAATGCGCCAGTACGCTCACACACACCAGCTCTCAGTGGGGAGGAGAACAGTCATGAAGCCAGTTCAGAGATGGGGATTATTAGGAGGCCACGATTCCTAAAGGCCAGGGGGAAATTTGGTGAAATGTAGTTAAGGGCTTCAGCTTAATTTGGGGGTAAAGAAATTATATCTAAATGCAATGATTATCTAATTATCATGCTTTATAAGATGCAAATTGCTGTATTTCTAAAATAAAAAACCCTGTCACCGAGCTCTTTTTTCCCCAGAAGCATCTTACTGTAAGCTCGCTTCGTGCAGACCAGACACCATCTTAACTCTGAAATTCTCCTGTCCTTCATCAGTATCCTTCGAGCTCAGTGTAGCTGCTGCTCTGCGGCGAGGAGTTTTTTTAAAGAATGATTTCGTTATTCAGGCAACAGGACAATCATTGTTTATTAACACAGGGTTTTTAAAGTCCGAGATAATTTGGCCGACACAATCAGGACTAGTAATCATGCAAATCCTCATCATCTTGTTCTTGTCTTGTTCCTGCTCATGTATTGAAGAACTGATCTTATTTTTCAAACTTTCATTGAAGGTAAATAATACAAAGAGAAAAGGTATCCAAAAAACATAAATGTACAAAAACAAAACACAATTCAATATATTGCCAGAGGTAATTACAGATCAGAAGACAGTAAGATAAGATTTTTTCATTACTTGTGTTTTTGCTTTGTTGTTTTTTTTTCAGGTTTTTAATGGTGTTCAAGTCAGACCATTTTGTTTAGTTAATATGAGATTAGCACATTACTTACTAACAAAATAATTATAAATAAATTTTCTTTTTCCATAGTAGATCTTGCACAAAATATCAAAGTCGTATATTCACATTTAAATGGTTAAGGTTTTTCAGGTTTATGCAAAACAAACGTCGTAAATATACCAATGACAAATGTGTCCAAATTTCTTCTCCAGCCTTACAGAACACACATTAATTATCTTGTTCACATATGAAACTAGAAAGTGTTAATTTAACAGGATAAAATCTGTAACAATTTTAATTGGTATTTCTTTAACCTTGTTTGGAAGGTTTTTATCTCTGAACTATCCAAACTAATTTCCAGTTAATGTTCAGTTCTTAAATTTATATATATGTAATACGTTGCAATCCTTTTTTAGTATTTTGTAATTTTATATATATTTGTAATTCATAGCCATTAACGAAAAATCATGTAACAATAAGTAACAACGAACGAAATAATCTATGCATTATAAGAATTATCAGGGATACTAAACTCAAAAACTGATCTATTCACTTTCCTTCACCAAGCGCGTCACTTGCGTCTGGATGTTATGAACCTATGTGTTTCTATTCGCAAATTATGCTTTCATTTACGATTATCACTCTTAACGTACCCGTTTTGCAAGTGGTACACGAAGTTTTAAAATCTGGTGTGTAAGATATGTAAACTCCCGTCAGCTGGCTGTCCATCGCCGCGGCCGGTGTACGTGGGGTCGCGCACGCTCACAGACGGTCAAGCCTTGAGGGTGATTTAGAGTGTGGTCTACCCTGAGGCCTGGGACTTTACGCCCCTTTTAGGAGAAAAACACCCCGAATTAACAAGACTCTGCGATGCAAACGTAGCATTTCAAACCTCTTTTTTTACTGTAATCTTATTAAAAGAAGACTAAAAACTTGCAGTTGTCTTCTCGCGGCAAAAGGTGGACAGTGTTAAGATATGTTTTACGCATGGACATTTTTACGCGTGTACACACTGGATGATTATTTTAAATCTCCGCGAAGCGCGTCAAAAACCGCAAGACGGGTATGTGGGGGACCTTTTTTTTCTTTTGTTTAGACGTGGTATTCATCGTTCGCATAAACACGGCAGCTCTGTCGGTACGATCTCCCCCGTCGGCCACCGCAGTTTGTGTCCTGAGGGGGAGCTACACAAACAGGAGATACGATTGACGGCTTCTAGATGGAGTATGCAAATCGCATTAAAAAAACAACAACTTTGCTCATGGTGTATTCAGGTCCGCCCGCTTAGAGGAGAGACAATCGCACCGAGAACAATCGGGTTGCGATTGTATTGATCCCTATTCCAAGCGGATTGCAGGGGGAACAGCTCTATTCGACACTGAAAATACAAGACTTATTCTTCTTGGCACAGGGACCCGCAGGCCTCGTGGAGACGCAGCGCACCCCTGTAAATCAAGCCCTGTGTGCCATAGCGTCAAAAATGGACTGGGTGAGAGTTTCCTTTTTGGAGACATTCAGTACAAACGCTGGCAACCGTAGCAAGTTGGTCTGAAATGGTCTATCACCCGTCAGTCATTGCTTGCGCTCTAAAGCAACAAACAAGTTTTCTCTGAGTAGTTGACTTGCAGTGTAACTTGCAGACCTGCGCTGATTAAATTAAATAAACCCTGACAAAAATCAATATGAATAGAGCTGCTACAGTATGCGTCCAGGGTGTATACAATACATTATGTCCCAGTAGTGCAGCATGCCGAATACAGTGAAAACTGTGTGTCCATGTAGCCATTACAGGTGATTTGCTGAAGGAGCTGCAGGTTGGCTATTTAGCAGTCTTGTTGCCTGGAGGTAGAAGCTGTTCTGTAGTCTGTTGGACTTTGACCGAATGCTTCGGTAACGTTTACCGGACTGTAGGAGGGAAAACACAGTGACGGGCAGTGAGAGGCGGGGTGCTGATGGGCTTAATGCGCTCTGCATTCTCTTCTGTCACCATCTACAGTCATCCTCCGTGGTGTGTCTGAATTATAGGAGTGACCCTGTGCAGGCAGCAGCACCCTGTCCCAGGACCTGTGCAGAAGAAGTGTCCCAAACAGGGATGGGGGAAGAGCAGAAAGGTGCAAACAGGTGCCTCTCACCTCAACCAGCATCAGGAACACCTTCAGCCATCCATGTCTCTCACTAGGGGGTTGTCTTCACAAAAGGTGCCGAAATCAGTGTTTTTATTTTGGCCTAGAAGACCAAACACCTCCTTTTCAAATGCAGAACGGTCCCCCAATCTCGATTACCCAGGGATGAGCGATCCCAGGGAAATGTCAACAGTTCCCCATTCTTCTGCTCTTGTCTCCCACCTCTTCACACAAAGGGGGCTTTTAGTGTTTAAGGTGCATCCCAGGTGTCCAAACTTAAGAAAAACCTAAATCCTTAGTGATTGACTGCTTTCAAGCACGGGCATCAAATCAGGTAGGAAAAAAAAAACAGTTTAAGTTCCAAGTGTTTCCAAGGGGTCCAGGACAAAAACTGCATGGATTGATTTGCCAGTGCAATCAAAAACATCAGAGCTGGGATGGAGTTTAGATCTAGAACTGCATGCATACAGAATGATACAGAATACTTCGCTGCATCTGTGTAAACAATTACATAGCAATAACAACGTACAGTCGAACGTGTTTGTGTGTACATGTTGACGTGTTTAAATTCTAATTTACGATGCAACTGCGAGCTCCTACAGGTTGTGAAACAGAATGAAAGTGCAAGTCAAATCGTAGGTGTTGCACAGGCAACGCCAAGCAAGGGTATGAGGGAGAAAGACTGCCCAATGGACACAATTTCCAGTATACCCTTTGGAGGAATCATATGCGTCATCCTTTTTATAAAAAAAAAGGATGAGTGAGATATATCTTATGTCCACACAGGCTGATCATTGTCTAGTAACACCAGCCAGAAAACATAAAAAAATGAAGCTGATATTGTATAGCTATTAGGTTCGCACTGCAGAGTGGTGTGGTCCAGTCCAGATTATCGGACTGCTCTGCGACCTGATCGATTCCAGGTTTTACAGTGCTCCCATCAGGCTACATAGAAGTTTGATTCCACTTCAGGTTTTACAAGATGCCAGCTACTTCTCCAATGTATGAATGAGGCAGAAAACGTAGTGTGCTTTTAACAGCAGTTATTGCATCTGCCTGAGCAGAAGCGTTCCTCAAATGTTAGCGAATGTGAAAAAACCAGGACGGTGTGCTCACCAACATACTGTATGTGAACCGAAAGTAAAGAACAAAGACTGGGCCAGGGGAGTGTTATTTTCAACATCCAAAAAAGAAATGAGAAAGAAGGGCAGTTACACAATGGAGTAAAAGATGAGAGCATATACCCAGAAAAAGCCATTCTGTTCAGATAAATCTTTAATTCAAATTAATATATAATTAAACGGATATGTGTACAGTTAAAAAATAGTCATTTATTATATTTTAGCATTCCTCACATTGTACCACTAATCCTGCTGATGAAAAAGATCCAGTATGGTTTCAAAGCAAGGCTTTCTCCCGGACTGTCACGCATGTACAGTAATTGGCCCCCTGCTCGAGCCCACAGCCTCTCCGCGTCACAGTCCTCCCCTGACAAGATCAGGCCTTGCTGGTGAATGGATTGGCACTTCCGATGCGGATCAGCTCTGATGATCAGTATTATCACATCATTACAGGATTACAGGCATGTAATCATTACAGGCATGGCTTGACGTTTTGTTTTTGTCAGATATTCTGTTTGTAGCAGAAGAGATACTGGTATCTATACTGGTAAGTTAGCTGGCTCATCTAAACAATGAGATAAGCAAGCTGAGAATGCAAAGAATCAGCAAAACCATCAATCTCGGCAAAACGAGCTGATTTTAAAACCCATCAGCCTGTGATGCATTCTCACACACACAATGCAGAGGAGACCAAAAGGGTACAAACTATTCAGGTATAACTGGACTACAGTTTACAGAATGGCACAGTCTACAAACTCTTATACTAAAGTAAACTTTGAAATCTGCATTAAAAATAAACACTCCAATAAAGAACATCAGTTGGCAACAGTGTATTGGCTTGCTGTCACCCAAAACCTCTCCAGCTCCAGCCCCCAGACTCTGGCATCCTCAGCACGTTCCAAAGGCATTCCAGGAATTCCTCTTGGAATGTCATTCGGAATGCTGTAGAACAACTTTGGAAGGCTCTGTTTGGAATCCCTCCCCATACAGACAACTGCTCTGACCATAGAGTGCTACACTGTCACACTGAGGCATTCAGCAGTAGTTTGATTTTCAGAGCTTACCCTGTATTCACTTTCTAGTTTGCATCCCCAAGCATATAGCGTTTAAATTACGTTGGCAGTAGTGTACATTCAAATGTCTTTGTCCTCCTGCTTTTAGCATAAAATGGCTTCTTGTAATTTTGCCACACAAGCACACGACACCAACCTGATGTATACCGCTTACAACTCTTCAGAAGGTTTTTAAATTGGTGGTCTGTGGCATGTGGATGAACAGACCAACAAGGTGTCAAACTACATAACTAATTCAAAGATTTTCTTTCTGCTTTCTACAGGTGCATGTGGAGTTAGCTGGCCTGGGCAAACAACTACAGAGGGAAAACTGTGCACTTTGGGCCAAACAAAATTATATCTACAAATCAAATTGATTGCACAGTCAAATAAGACCATGAAAAATGTGTTCACATGAGCACTGGCAGTACACACCAGAAGGCATGAATGCACAGCAGAATGAAGAGTCTGGTGGCACAGTCCAGGGAATTGGACTGATCCAATGCAGAATTTTCACAAATAAAACAAACACTTGTACACAATGCATTCATAAACAACTGCATAGCACAAACCTTACACACACTATAGCCAAAAATGAAAATAATGCGTATGTTCAGTCTGACTATAAGGCTGACATTCCTTGGGCACTGTATAAGATCGATGTATTACAAGTGATAAATTGCTTTAGTTTCAATGGGTGGCTTCTATAAAACAAGGTTTAAAGGGGAGATTATATTATTAACATCTAGAAAGACAAATAGGCAACACCCAACAGAAGCACTATTGGCACAAATTGGCTGACACACTGAAAAAAAATCAAAAGGAGGGATTATACCTAGAGTATGAACACACAAATTCGCGATTATGAAGTAACAGAATTTAAAGGCAGCTATTCTATTCATTAAAGTTCATAGCCTTCACTTCCTGCTATTTTAGAATGCAGAACACATCAGTTAAAGCTACGGGTTTAAGTTTGGAGCTCTGCTTTTAAAATATTGGTCTACAACTGTCTCAGCCACAAAGATAATCATTCCCTTAATTCAGGATACATACAGAGAATGGATTTATCAAGTAAGCAACCCCTCCAGAACACAAAAATTGTGGAATAACTCCAGATTATCCTCTGCATGACTGTCTAAAACAGGCCACGCAGGACAGAAAAGATCAAGCTCACAGGTGCTCTATATACAGTGCGTAGTCTTTGTCTGGACTGTTCCTTTTATTAAGGCTGGCCTGTGTGCAGAGAAGGTTAATCGAGTTTTACTTTAGAACTTGACGAGCAACACTGGGATCATTCTTTAAATATAGGTGCCTATACTTGTTTACCACTTTACAAACTTTTCAATGTGGAAAAGATTTAAGACAATAACTCATGAAGAATTTGATTTACAAATGACTGCCTCCAGAAAACTGACCTGCATAATGACAACGTCCACTTTTCGAAGTTTTTGCCACTGAATGTCAATGACACTCTAAAACAGTAAGCCAGAAGGGAAATGCTTAAAGCTTCCCAAGTCAGGCTTTTACTCCAGGGACTAATTACAGTGAGTTTGAAAGGGAGTAAAAAGGTAAAAGGTGAATGATTAGCAGGAGACAAGACTCGTGTGGGAAGTTGCAAATTTGTTCTGTTTGCAATTAAAGAGAGGATTAAAAAAAGACGTTGGCTTTTATTTGGAACGAAATTAGGGTGAGAGCTCCCCCTACTGATTGCCGGTGGTAACTTCAGCCTAGCCACCCCAGCATGCAAAAAACTCCTTGGTACTCATGAGAAGCAAAGCCAATGCCTATGAATTAAAAATAATTAAATGCAATAATTACTCTAGCTAATTTCTAATAATTTTATTATAGATTCATATTTTTTATATTTAACAATCTGTGCTTCGATTTTGGCTGGAAACAATGGTCATGATATTTACAGCATGATTTGCTGTTGGTTAAAAGCACTTTCATGAAGCTGAGAACTCCCACTCTCGCTGGAAGAGTGATGTGTACACAGAAACTGCCCGAGACCTTCATCTGAAACTGCATGCCAATAAAAAAAGTTAATAACTTAAACATTTACAAAAAAAGAACACTTTAACACCGGGCTTTTTTAAGACTCATAAATGTTTGATAAAACTGATCAAAGTCCTAAATTTTTTCCTGACTAAATGTGAAGAATCCAGGATTGCAACAATGCAGTGTGCCAAATAACACAGCTGAACCCGCATCGGCGGAAAACCACATACTGAAACTCTCACTGATCTGACAGACCCATCTCTAATCATACCAGCTCTCTCACATCCTTTTAGAGTCTTGTGCTGCTTTTTACCTCTTAACCCACCTTAGTTAATAAAGTGCTCAGGAGTAAAAAGGGAAATAATAAAAACGACACTAAAACGCAGGTCATGGCGATGTGTTCCCGTCACTCTGAGAAACTGTGGTGAAGGGTGGCAGGGGGGTGCGGGTGTTCAGTATACAAGCAGCTCTGTGTCGCTGAAGAGGAACGGTGGAAAGGAACAAAAGGGAAAGGGGCTTTCTAACACACAGAGGCACAGGGGAGCTGAAAGAGGAGGAGGAGAGGGAGCGAGAAGAGGGTGGAGAGAAATGGATAAGAAAGGAGGTGGATGAGGGAGAGAAAGGAGAACAAGGCAGAGAAGAGAGTGAGGGGGGGGACAGGGAGGCCAGTCAGTCTGAAGTGTCTCCTTCCATGAGGCTTTGGGTGGGGGGGGTGTGTCCTCTCAGATTTTCTGGAGAGACAGGCTATGCCATGCTGGCTTCCCGACTCCGGGAAGTCTGTCCATCACTCTCGTCATTCCGCCTACGGGCCAGGCTGGGTTCGTGTGTGCATCTGTGGGCGCGCGCGCGCGGCTTTTGGGGGAGTCAGTGCTCCTTCACCGTCAGGCGGTCCAGCTTCTCTGCCGCCTCCTGCGTCACGACCTTTGACCTCTTCTCGGGGCTGGGCGTGCTGGGGTACCCCCGATCTCCGAAAATGGTGCTGCCCACCCTTATGTTGGTAGAGCCCACTTCAATCTGGGCAGAGAGGGGAAAAGAAAGAGATCAACATTAAAAATATATATAATAAGACCTGGTGAAGCTCTTGCGGGTTTGAAAATATGAGCTGACAGTGAAAAGATAAGAGCTCCCAAACTAAACTGCCCTTCACAAGAAACTGAAAAAAACAGAAGGGACTTTTAATTATGAAGGGTGTAGTTTAAGGGGTGTCCTCCCCATTATAATGTGGTAGAAATCATTGTCATGATTTCTCATTATTGAGAAAACTATTTTTGTTGCATCTGAAATTAAGCAGATAATTAGTCAAAAATGTCATGTTTCCACAAACCGAAATCTCTATTCAAACCCCAGAGTGATGGAAGCGAGCCAGGCCGTCCCCATGGAAACTGTACTACTGCATGGACAACTGTATAGACTGTGTAACAGTAAAGATGGCAAAATAAAAACCACTGTCAACGAAGCTTCGAGGCACTTTTAAGAGATTTTAAAGCATTTTGTTTGTTTTAAAAATGGTTTGTAAGTTTACAAAAGGAATTTACAGGAGAAAACTACGACAGGGAAGGGAAATCTTTTTTTCCCCCCATAACAGCCATGTGAAAGTCCTGTGCACGACGAAATACATGCTTTACAGTATATACAGCTGAAAGACTACACAGCTGACCCTTCCCAGACCTTCTTGTGAGCACTGAACGCCTTACTAATTCCTAGCAAATCCAGATCCTCATATGTGGGGAGGAGCAAAAACACTGGTAATCAGTCAGAAATTGAATCAATCGGTTTGGAGCAGTAAAAAACACAAACACCAATTCAACTTTAAAAAAGTAATTGACCTCCGACAACATGTATACAAGTACAAATCATATACTGTATACATGTATAAAAAAATTCCTAAAGCAACAATAGAAAGACTGGTAGCTGGCTTCAAGAAATGTTTGAAGGCTGTGATTTCTGCCAAAGAGCTAGTTAGTAAGTACTGACAGATAGGGTGCCCAAACTTTTACAATTGCCACATTTACGGTTTTATTTTTTTCTGTCTGTTAAACAGAAAACAAATAGTAACTGTGCATTAAAATTTGCAGAAATATGTCAAGTTTAAGTTTCTTCGCTGCAGAAGTTGTTAACTTCTTTTCACTTAGAAAATCCCCAAAACGTGTAATTTGGCCAGGGGTGCCCAAACTTTTGCATACAACTGTATATAAAGGCTGTTTTGCATGCCTATCTTTGACCAGCTCCCACACAAACTGTTCAGCACTGTGTGCGTGTTCAGCAGTGTTTGGTTGATGACGAGCGTGTGTTTCTTTTGTACGGGGGTGTGGCCCTCTCACCGCGTGCTCGAAGTCATTGGACATCCCCATGCTGAGCTCCACCTTCTCCAGGGGCAGCTTCATGCTCTCACACAACTCCCTCCTCCGAGCCAGCAGGTTCTGCACAAACAGCCACAGAACGAAAGACCATTTCAGCTATACAGACAGACTGGGCAGCCTCTCCTACTTCTTACTACCGCTTCTATTAGGCAAGGGATGGGTTGGACACATAAATATCAAACTCAATCAATCGGGAAGTTGTGCAGGTCATCAATGAATTAAGCAATCGGTGGGAGAACAGTTGGTTTCAATCAAGGAAAAAAAATAATAACACGCAAGGTTGGACAGAGCATTCTGCAGTTAAAGAAAATCTTCAGTAACCAGAAAAACAAATCTGGCAATCAGAATATTCATCCAATCTTCCAATCATGTGGTCAAAGCTGACTATCCAGTCCTTTAAGAAAAGGACAGGTAGCATTCTTACATCATTTAGATATCTGATGCCGAATGAGCAAGATGGACCACATGGCCTCTCGTTAATAACCTCTTATGTTTTATGGAGGAAATATTTGACAGTCAAGAAATTGCCATGCCATTTTTAAACGGTGTTGTCTTCAACGACAGCAGGGTACACACTGCACACCTGTCCTGCCTCTAAAGTAGCTGCCAGTTCTGTCAACCCCTTTAAGAGAGGAAGTGAGCTCTGCAAAGGAGGCGTGTACCTGAAAGTCAGGGTTGGGCCCCTCGCTGAGGTCATAGCCATACCGTCCAATTGTCATGAGCCCCACGAACTCGAGGGCCAGGCACTGCGAAACGATGTGCTGCACGGTGTTGACGGTCTCTTCCGGGGGCAGGCCATGTTTACCTGCCGACACATACGGGACAGCGAGGGGCAGGGGGCTGTGTTCAACACGCTGTCACCACCAGTCTAACTGCACACCTCATTTCTTCGCAGAAGTAAGCAACACAGTGACGCGGTGAATTACCTCACACAATACACACACTTTCAGGATGGGCCTTATAAGCAAAGAGAAAGCTTTTTCATTCTAAAACATTAAGATACTGTTTCTGCTTAGACCAACAAATCAGTAAATCTAGAACTATCCATTCTAGCTAGTTTCAATCCAGGTTCTGAGGCCTATCCCAGCAAGCAACAGGCACATGGCAGGGTACGCCCTGGAAGGGACACCTTTCTATCGCAGGGCACACACTCACACCAGGGCTAATTTTCCCAGGAACCAATTAACCTTTGAGCTTATCTTTAAACTGAAGGAGGAAACCGGAGCACCCAGGGGAAATCCCATGCAAACACGGGGAGATTGTACTAACGCATGCAGATAGCACCCCAGGAACTGAACCCAGGGCCCCATCTCTGTGAGGCAGCAATGCTAACAGCTGCACTAACGTGCCACCCAAGGACAATTTGTTTTCCTCCTTTTTCCCCAAACACATATAACAGAGCATCCTCTGATTTTATTACATTTCACACGTAGTGTGAACCAATCTGGCTATGAAATCAAATAATGTGCTATTTTAGATTTCATTCAACTGGCAACTAAGAAACACTTGCCGCTCAGCGGGAGGCAGAGGGTGGCATCACTCTGCCCTCACCGCAATGCTTTCTCATTTCGAAACAAACAGGTGCTCTTCCCAAATGTAATCCCTCTGTTTACTCACTGTCCTCTCCACTGGTGTTGATCTGGACCATGACCTTTAACCTCTGACCCAGCGTGGACGACGCCCTCACTTTCTGCCAGGAAGTATTGACTCGGTCAGCCAGCTTCACAGAGTCTACCGTCTCCACCATGAAAAGATTAGGAACGCCTGAGAAATGGAAATGGGGAGAGAGACAGAGAGGGAGTAAGAAAAGGAATAGAGGCAGATGGGGGTGGGGAATAGGCAGGAGAGAGAGGGAGGCGAATGCTGCCAACCTGCCATTTAATTTGTACCCTGCTGTGGCAGAGATGACTATAGCACTACAGCAAACACCAAAACAGACATGAACACAGCAGCACCCACTCTGCAATGGTAATAAAGGATCTGGGAAAAACCTGCGCACTTCCACCCACATTGGGGACTACTGATATAATGATGGGACTTTCCATGAGGTGGGCAGTGTCGAGACCAACATCGTATCCACGACTCCACCATACAAACTGCCCAACACTTCGACGGTGAAGGCTGGGGAACCCAGGACTGACTCTGTAACATGGGCTGCAGTGCGCCAGAGTCGCTCTCGACAGCACCCGAAGGGTCCTCACCCATTAATTTATTGACGTTGTTCTTCTGCAGGTGCCCGATGAAATGCCACTTTATCTCAGGACAGGAGGACAGAATCTGACCCCAAAAAAAGAATAAACACACTTAAATTCTATACAGGTGCTGAAATAAGTATTAATTATTAGTACTGGAACTTGCATTCACTAGATGTCTTTAATATTGGTTGCTAAGATATACATGTTAGAGAAATCTAATACTGCAAAAACAGGTAAGTGATATCTACTTCTTAACAAACTAGTGAGTAACACTGCTGGAGATGCAACGTGCTGATATCTACTATATGTTGTTAACTTTAATAGAATTAAGTCAGAAGTGTATGTGTGTTTGTTTTGTGCATGCACATCGGGTTTGCTGATCAAGAGAAAAAAGCACGAAAAGTATCTCTATTCTCTTCTTACATAAGTGTTCTGGAAAATCAATGGCTTATTTTACTGGCAAAAAATGATGAAATCTGCATGTCTGAGTTTGCACATTTGCACATTAATGAGGTGCTGGGATAAAGTGAGCAAGCAAATGAGCAGGGATGCGACCACCCTCGAGATCCCTGAGTCCAGACTCACCTGGGGATTGGACGCCTTCTCCAGCAGCTCCTGAACCTGGAGGATTAAGGAAAAAGTCAGACTTAGTGTTACCCAGTGTAACCCCAGTCCCAGCATCCTATTAATACTACATTTGCACCAGCTCCACTTCCATTCCCGGCTGCTATGGTACTCATGGAGTGACACACCAATACCAGGAGGACCCCATGAAGTCCGAACAGCTGCGCGAGCAACAGAACGATATACTGTAACCATAGTAACAACTATCCTCTTGGAAGCATCAAGTCTAGATCAAGACATTCTTCAGTTTCCAATTATTTTTTCTTATGATCAATCAGTTTGGAGTAGCCCATTGTATGTTTGTAGCTGTGCAGCTACACTGAGAGAATGAGGAAATGTAGGCAGACTCCTCCCACCCACCTTCAAGCCAATCATCTTTTAACACATCACAGGCAGCCCAGCCCCTTACTCGTTGGCTGTTTGTTTCATGTGTCTGTATACAGAGATTCAAGGAATCAGATTTATGTGTGTATATACAGATATTCCAGATATCGGACCCACAAAAACATTCTGAGAACTAGAAAGCATAGCAGAGCCAGGCCAGGACCTGTCACGGTTGGCCACGGACATGACCCAGGCTCGAACCCACAGTCACAGAGCACCTTTACTGCTTGAGCCACTTAGAGGTCTCAAATCAACCATTTCTTTAGCTCTAATTTTCAATTTATTGAAAATTCTAAGAGAAAATCAGACAGATGACAAATCTTGCTACACAATATCTGTAGTACCCTCGGTCATTTAAGGAAAAAAGTTATCATCACATGGGGGGGGGGGGGGGTTCTTTTTTTTCTTATCTGCTCATTTTTAACAGCTGAGATACATGCCGATTTCTTTTCTTGTTTCTATCGGTAGTGATCAGCAGCCTTAAAATGTCATATTACAATTGCAATTAAAGACACAGTCTTCTTTTTTTACATCACTTTAAACATGCTCCTGTTGCCAAGAGTAATTTTAATAGCCACAACTCCATGAAACAGACACTGTTCAGCAGTTTAAAGGAACCTGAGCATGAATCATTGAGAACATGACGCAGAAAAGCAAATGCAATACTGGTCAGCAGACCAGGCCAGCTCTCAGTGGGTAAGCAGAAAGATTCAGACAGGTGGTTTGGACACTAGTTTAGTCAAGCTTCTGAAATGAGTGTCATTCTTGCACTGTACTCACATAGTTCTCCCCAAAGTTGCGCTGGCCCTTCTGGTACGCCTCTATCACCATCTCGGGGGGCTTGGTCTTGCTGACTGCCACCAGCCGAGGAGGCAGGCTGGGCAGGGACTGGGAGGGGGGGGCAGAAGAGGGCAGTTAGTGACGTTACTCTCCTCCCCACTGATAGCTGATGTGTGGTGAGCGTTCTGGTGCACTATGGCTGCCGTCGCATCATCCAGGTGGGACTGCACACTGGTGGTGGTGGAGGGGATCCCCATTACCTGTAAAGAGCTTTGAGTGGAGTGTCCAGAAAAGCGCTATATAAGTGTCAGCAATTATTATTATTATTACCTCAAGAGACGTTCACACGCGCGGCACACAGCAGCCCAACCCTCACCATAACTGGCCTCTGGCCTCCCCCCTAACGCCACTGCACGCTCCACTCCCACACCTGACCCAGACCCACACCAGCAGGTCCGACCCCCCAGCACAGCCGCCGCCAGCGAGGGCTCAAAAGGGATCGGCACCGCTGCAAGCGCACCCACAGCCAGACAGCTCCACGGGGAGGTATATTTCTATATCTTGGGCTTTTTACAGGCATGACCCTTAAGTTAAGCAAAACTCAACAAAGGAAGAAAAACTATGGTATGCAACACGGCATCACAGTCAGACCCCCCCCACAGCATACTGAGTCCAGTTCTCACATGGAGATCACTACCCCACAGGGAGTTTCCAGAATAACCCCAGGGCTAACGGGCATGTCATTGACGCGCTCAAGCACCTAAATCCCTTCAGGACACCAGGACACATGAGTTCTGGCAGAGTATGTGCAGGACAGAGAACGGGAAGCACCTTTACACAAAGGGTAGTGGGTGTCTGTAGCAAGCTGTAAGACGTGCTGTTAAAAGGACTGCAGGAGAGATGCTCAGAGCAATTAGCTACAGCTAGTAGGCAAACCAGCACAGCTGGGTGGGATATTTTGCATATTCTGTTTTCCAGTGTGTACAGAAAGGAATCGTTTGACATCATCTTAAGTTTTCTTCAGCGGTTTTACAAACGTTAGTACGGTTCGTGTGCGAAGAGGCTCGCCGCGACTGCAGCTTCAATTCGCCAGACACGCCGCTGGCCGAAATAAACACCGGAATGACGGGGGAGTGTCGCGCTCCGGCCCCCTGTCCGGACACGTGAGCGAGCTGGAGCAGGAGCAGGAGCAGGAGCCGGCCGGAACACTCCGCTACCTGCTGCCGCTCTGAGCCGTTAGCGCCCAGCGTAGGCAAGTACTGGGAACAGATCCCATCCGTTCAATCGATAAGAGTGTAATTCCCACAAGTCAGAGTAAGACAAGTATCTAAATCTACAAGTGCAAGGTTGAAACAGGCAGTGGTGAGTACACATGTACTCCACAGACCAAAGGTTATTAAGGTGTCTCTCTTTACATAATCATATGGTCAGGTAACACTAAGTTTATTTGCTCGACTCGCCCGACTGAAACCCTTGAGCGACCCGCACATTTCCCTTATCCTCCCCGCCTCCCCCCAGTTTTCCCGCACCCACCTGCGGGCGCCGGGCAGCTGCCTGCTGAACCCGGTCTACGACTGCCTGTAACGCTTTGCCGATATCCTCCGACATGCCCACTCTCCACATCCCTCGATCGGAGCTCTGTGTCTCTGTGACTCACTTCCGGTAATCCTGCAGGACGCCTTTGACTGACAGCGCGTCGTAACCAACCGCAGGCGCGACGGGCCGAGGAGAAGGCCAATCGGAGCGCATAACGCACTGAGGAGGCGTGGCGAATAGGCTGTAATCGTATTGCGACGTCTTCGTAAGGTCTCAACCGTCTCCCACACCAAAATATTTGTATGCTCCGTTAAGCGTTCTTCCTTATTATACAGGCACAATTGTAAACATATATTGACTTTGTGCAACTATAACTGCTGTTATTGCCATTTACTAAAAATTATTTCAATACCATTTACCGTTATTAACAAAAAACTACCGTCAACTATTTTTTTCACAGAACCTTTGAATATTGAACCACTCTACTAGAGCCAATCTCACATCCAAAAATAACTGACGTCAGTTGCTGCATTTATTACTCATACTGAAACGGTATAGGAATAAAGAATAAATAAGAGATTTGTTAAAATCACACAACGCACTGTGTGGATATAAACTCTGGCTACACTACGACCTAAAAAGTAAATATTAATGTAAATTAATCTGCTCGGCTCTGCCACATTAAAATGAGCACCCTTCAAACCCCCTGGAGGTCTTGGGTTTTGTAAACCAGTGGAATCAACAATGAATTCCCTCATGTGCATCTGTATCAGCTCCTGCAGTCATATTATACACATCCTGTGCTAGTGGCTGCTCCATTGTGTGCTGTGGTGTTGGGCTATAGACGTATTTTGCTTGTGACACAGCTGTAGTTATAATGTTATGAACTTCTGTTTCCTCTTTGACTCTGGGAATATTTTATCGTTTATTAGGGAAGTAGGAGACAGATAAGAGACTGTAGTTGAATGTCTTTATTAGAAGTTTGAGGGAGCTGGGTAATTCGGGGATAGAAATGTCAACAGGTTAGAGAGGATACAGGTTAGGGGGGATACTCCGTGTGAAGTGCTCAGAAAATGCCAGACTGCCCACAGACAGCGACGTTGAGGATGAAAAGGGTGTCAATATTCAAGCCGTCCAGGGTTGATTCCCAAAGCAAGTTGTCTCACAGTAAATCTTTGGGACGAAATCCCAGAATCTCTGGAGGCTGAAAACGTTTATTTTTAATGAAAACTCCAGTTATTCTTAGAAAGATAATGCTTATCAACCTGCTCCAAAGTAGGGTTTAATTTAAAGCACATTCAACACTTAAACCTGGAGTAAAACTGCAGGTGTGACATAAATATCAGTATCTTAAAAATAAAATAAGAAATATGTCATCTTACATCAATGTAAAACAAGGATTAAATATAGAGCTTTTATACCAAGGAAATATAATGGAGTATAATGTCTTATCCTTGTTGATGACCCTTTAATTAAGATTTTCAGTTCTGTTATGAGTTCAAGGAGACAGCTCAGCTGTACCATTAACAACAGTAAAATCCACCCAGTTCTGGTCCTTGAGACCTCAGTGTCTGGTAGTTTTCGATCCAGCTGGACCTTCAGTTGGGCAGTTGGAACTGAGATCTAATTTGCTCATTAAATGTTAAATTTGGGAGTGAATTCAATACTCAAGAGCTCAGTTTAAACAAACATTGGGGTCAAGAGCTCCTGGATTGGAAAACACTGTTGCAGCTAATGAATGGTTCATAGTCGGTTTATAATAAAATCAACCATTATTTTTGTTATACGCACCACATTTTAAAATCACCAGTTGTGTGTTTTTCATGTATTGCCCACAGCTACAAACCTCCTGACTGCACACAGGAGAATGAAGAAGTGTAGGCAGACTCCTCCCACTCCCGGGCCTTCAAGCCAATCATCTTTCAACACATCACAGACAGCACATCCAATCGTCGCTGACTGGAGAAGAGACATGTCCCTCACTGACGGCACTGTGGTCCTGAGTGACACCGAGAGTCGACAGATTCCACCGTAGTCCTGGCAGAGCTCAGAGACACTCTGGTGCAAAGAGCGCTATAAAGAAGCACATTTGATTCAACTTGACTTGCTGGCTGAGAAGCAATTGACTGGCAATGGACCTCAATACTGGTATTCACCCTGTGAGCCTATCAGTTCAATCAACAGCAGGAGTTTACTTCAGGACTTTAATTTGTAATTAGCCTTGATAACTTGTTTGCATTTTAATTAGTAATTAACTGGGATTGATTGTTTGTGTATAAGTACAGCAGTGCAGTAGATTAAGTGACCCTGGGTTACTCAATCTTTTGCACTTCTGATACTTGTGAGTTATTGACAAGGACAGCTTTTAAAATTATTTATCTCATATAAATTATCCTTAGCTGGCTGTGCTTTTCCTTCTGTTTTTATTTCCTGCTGAGGTCCAAGTAAAAAACAGGCTATAGACATTCTGGACTGAGCCCTTCAGATGAACATGGCTTGGTAGTCTTTCTGCTGAACATTGAAGTAATTGCATAATTATGGAGCCAAATTGAAATTTACACCATCTAAGAGGTACCCCAATATACCTATAGTGAGACCAGACTTTTTTCAAAGTGGACTTCAAGACACAGGAGTGTATCCTGAACAGCGCAAAACAAAGGCATAGAAATAAAATTGGAAGTTTAGAAAAACCTGCCTTTCCTTTCCATTTTGTGCTTTTCAAATTTCTAAATTCTGGCATGTAGTCTATCCTCAGTTGAAATTTCCTTCTGAAGGACAGTGCCTCTCCAACACGATGTTCCCTGTCACAATACTGGAGCACAGGATTAGACATTCTGAAGAAGAGTGCCACCTACTGGTCCACCAACATTACTTGTGGCAGCAATCTCAATTTTCTTGTCTTCCATCCCAGTAAGACCAGGCCTGGCCTGCCTTAGCTTCTGAGACCAGATATGCTCAGGCAATGAGGTGGTAAATATTAAAGCACCATAATTACGGATCATGTCACCTGAGCTCTTTTATCATGGAATCATTTATGACTTTAATCATTCTAAACCCACACTACTTCCTGATCTTCAGCCATTTAAGGTTCTCAATTCCCCAGAAATCCTGCAAGGTTAAACAGGCGATGAGTGTAAACCGAAGGCATAGAAGTAAAATTGAAAGTTTAGCAAAACCAGACCTCTCTCTCTGTTTAGTGGAGCATTTAATATGGAGGGATCAGTCTCCAACTGCTCTATTTCCTGATCTGAAGCTATTGATGGATGTTATTTTCCTGTACATTCTGCAGGGCCACACTATCTGGACTAGTTTGCCCGGCTGCTGTGAAGTGTTTTATGAAAGAAAGCAGACAGAAGAGAGGCAGGTGTGATGAAGCTGAAAGCCTTTATTTGCGGGAAGAAAGAGCTTATAGCTCTTATATCAGATTATATCTGGGCAGGATTCTGGTCAGGGGCAGGGTGGCGGGGCAGGGGGTAGGCGATTAGTAGTAGGATGAGTGGACCTCAGAGTGCCGACACATGTTGATGTTGAGGAGGAAGAGGAGATTCAGATTGAAGCACTTTCCCGATTCACCAAAAAAGAACATTTCTCCTGTGGAGAGAGAGAAGCATCGACGCCTTCCATCAGACACAGGAGTTCCCAACAGAACCGGATGTTTGCAAACTTTTAGGACATGCAAATACATGTCTAAAACATCCAAAAGGCATTTCTTGATTCAGACTTACAAGTAAAGAAAAGCATGGATTTTAAAAGATGCAATTTCACCCATGTTTCATATTCCAACTACACATAAAAATGATGGATTAAAAAATAACATGATGGAGCATTTATTGTTCAGTCTTGCAGTAAGATACTGCAAGCTTTAAACATAATAAAATATAAAACCTGCCTTCAGGTTTGGACCATAAGATGATTATGATCTAATCCATTGATATAACATAGTTTAGCATTGAATCTTTAATGCTGAAGATGGTTGAATACATCAACTATCTTTACAAGTACCCCATAGGTGCTGTATTGTTCACAGTAGGTCTTGATAATTTAGTGTAAATGTCTTTTTTATTCTGAACTGCTGATGGGTGCACTATCGTGAGTTTCCTGTTTGCTGCAGTTTAAAATTCACATCTATGAAGAAGATGCTTGCAGAGACGCCAGTTCGAAAGCAGCATGATCTGACTGCCCTGTGCTTACCGATCTGCTCCTGGGCCCAGTGAGTGGGCAGGTCGTGGCACATGGCCTGGACTGGGGCCCCCAGCTTGGACAGGTCCTTGATGGGCTCTGGGTTGACATTGTACTGCTTGCCAGGGGGAGGGGGCCTCTTCTTCTGGCTCTGTAGGAGAGGGAAGAAAGGGGGAGGAGGGAGGTGGGGAAAGGAGAATGGGGAGAGAGAAAGAGAGAATCAGAACAGCTCCACAGCTGCCAAAATCAGAACAGCTCTAAATCCGACTGGGAGAAGGGACAGGGAACTCAGTTGAACTGGCAGCCCGGTATGTGATCTCCTGTTACAGCCTGAGGAGCAGTGAGCCTGTCTCCCAGGAATGTTCTATATGTTGCATGTTGCATGTAAACATCCCATGATGTGTCTGTATTGTAATCGCCTGTAAAAGTTGTGTTAATTGAATATGCTTCGGCATCACTGTAGTTCATTGGTCACACAGTGTTCTTGAATTGAACTGAAATTGAGAGGAAGGGGAAGGGAGAGGGAGAAGGGAGAAGGGAGAAGGTGGAGATACTGTAGGAAAAGAGGTTAGCAGGACGAGAGAGAGAGGAGAAAAAGAAAGGGAGGAGGATGAGAAGGAAAGACATAACTGAGAGGCAGAGGGAAGAAAGGAGGAAACGGATGAGAGACATAAGGAGAAAAGAAAGACAGATATTAAAATTAGAACAGTCCTCTGTCTGTACTCTTAAGTGTTTCTCTCTTTGTCTCACCTTCTCATCCTCCGCTGCCTGTCTCAGTTTGTCCAGAGGAGGGAAGGTGGCCCGGTCCATCCTGACGATGAAACAGGACTGCGACTCAAATGCCCTGTAGGCGATGATCCCCTGATGGAAACAGTGCACATCCGCCGTGTGTCACCTCAGAAAATAGACCCCTAAACTCACGTCACAGCAGCTACACCTGGAAACCTACAGCGTCTTCTTGGTTCTTTGTTATCTGACTTCAGTATTTCACAATGAACAATTCAAACCCTTCGAGTCCTGAGCAGAAAGAACAGGGATGGACATGATACAAGTATTCAAAGTCCTCAAAGGCATTAACAACGTCAACCCAGTAGACTTCTTCAGAATCAACAATAAAATACCAGCCAGGGGACACGAATGGAAGAACATTTAAAAGTGGGAATAGGAGGCACTGCTTTATTCAGAGGGTTGTGGGAGCATGGAACAATCTAGCCAGCCATATTGTCGAAGCTGATAGGCCAGCTTGTTTTAAGAAACAGTTGGATGAGATCCTCAGTCTAAACCATTAGCTATGAACTACTGAAGGGGCTAGATGGGCCCCTGATCGTGAAGGCCCCAGTGGGTTTACAGCTCATGAGCTATGTCGTCCAGCCTGCTGGCTTTCAGGGTGCAGGATCCACCTGGAGCTGCCCGGCAGCCTTCTGGGGCCAGCTGTCTGCCTGAAGGCACACCCCCGCGTCAAAGGATTGAGGAACAGAGCTTGTCCCCCTCCTGAGACCACAGCCAGAATTAGACCTGAACCTGAATTAGATCAGATACCTGAAGGCACACCCCCGTGTCAAAGGATTGAGGAACAG